AGGGCCCGGGATAGATCGCTAAATGACTCAAACGTGCATGGATGACTCTAAAACTTCTTCAGGCATGTTTTGTGATGAGGGAACGACATTATAACGTGGTAGAAAGCTCAGAATTTCAGTGTTGAACACCACATCTTTAACTCTGACCATGAAACTGCACTTAAAAAAACTACACCACTGAAAATATAATCAATATGCAAGTTCTATTCCTTTAATCCTGTAGTCAAGAAATTGGTCAATGGTGCCTTAAACTCTGTTCACACAGGATAAGTACAACCTGAGGACGTCTGGTAATTTGCAAATTACCACCCCACCTCTGTGTTACTTGCGGCGCATTTGCAAGGGATAAGCAAAGTCCGTAAATTACCGTATTTTTCAGACTATAATGCCCACCGGATTATAAGGCCCATTAAGCAAAACAAACGGACAACACTTGAGACTGATCCTTAGTCCAGGCGTCCGTGATCCATCGGCAGATCGTGGTGTAACTCGCCTGGTGTTGTCTCCCTGTCTTGGTGAATGTGTGTTATGAATGTTGCTGGATAGTTTAAGTTTGTTTTTTTATTTCCTATGAGGGCGACTCAAATATACATTGAGTTATAATGTGTTTAATGCAGCTTTGCCACATTGTTTAAGTTTTACAGAAACAAAACTTAAAGCCACATGGCTCATTTGCATAAACTATAAGCACTGAAAAAACAGCTCGCTCCTTGTGTGCTGATGCGGTTCAGCTTCTGTCAGACTAACTCTGCGAGGCTCCTGACTACAGTAGCCGTAATGCTCCAACAATCCATCAAGCCGTGTGTCTTCATAGTTTACCAAAGTTGTTCTAAAACATTTTGACAGACTTTTGAGCGCAGTGTACCACATAAAATCGGTTCAAGGTCAGTAAACACAACCAGAATTAACACATAAGGCACCGGATTATAAGGCGCACTGTCCATTTTTGAGAAAATTAAAAGATTTTAAGTGCGCCTTATAGTCCGAAAAATAAGATAATCTATTTTATTGACATTGACACAGAACTGAAGGAGAAAAGAATGCGGAAAGAAAAGAAAGAGATAGAATAAGTGCAATTACAACAGCAAACACTGAGATGCAGATTCACACGGGACTAGTATTATCACTGGACGTTTGTGTTTGACCAAATATAGTCAGTCATTTGAGGCTGAATTTTTACTTTTACAAATTACAGACATGGTGCATTTGATCTCAGGAATCCTCCTCACTTATTACAAATCACCAAAGGTCCACAGGTCAAACTAATCCCGTTCCCATAGGGCTTTAGTATTAGGTTAAAAAATTTAAATGAATTATTGTTTTTTATAGTAAATAACAAAATAATAATAAAAAAGAATACCCAGCCTTTTGAATGACTTCTGCACCGCCACAGAGACAAACAGGTGACAGACCCTCCACCAAACCCCGCAACCTAAACACGGGTCGAGCTCAATGAGAGTAAAAAGCTGTTTTTAAGACAACTGAAGGATTTTGAGCTGAGAAAAAGTTAATGATCTAAAAATAAGTACAAATCACCACAAAATCCAACCTTTTTGAAAACTGTAGGTCCCTGTCAGCTGAACATGAACAGTTTGTGATTGTGATTTTCTAGGGGAAAAATCCTTTGCTGAAGCACCAATAAGTTAGTCAGGTTGGCGCCACCTAGTGCCTCCACTTAATTTAATTTCTCTCCAGCGACTAGGTCAGGAATCAGAATACACTAGACAGTTTGTAAGAACCCCAGAAGTGTGAGTTCAGGCACCAGCCAATCAGTGAAGAGCCAGACATTGTGTTGTCAACAGTGTTGAGAAGGTGACTTTTAAAATGTATTCCCCTACAGATTACAGATTACATACCCCAAAATGTAGTTTGTAACATAATCCATTAAATTACTGAAGGTGAGTAACGTAATCTGAATACTTTGGATTACTTGATTTGCTGTAGAGAAGCAAAGACGAGGAAATCGTAACATAAGAAGTTTTGTCTGTTAAAAGAAAATAAAAAGCCCAGACTTTACTGAACCAAATTAAAAATATAATTGACAGAAGACGAGGAGACACGTCCACACAGCAGGATTTAGTCCTGTTAAATCCTGTTTTAGTCCTGGTTTAGACCTGGTTTACATCTAGTTTAGACCTGGTTTAGACCTGGTTTAGATCTAGTTTAGACCTGGTTTTAGACCTGGTTTTAGTCCTGCTTTTAGTCCTGGTTTAGACCTGGTTTAGACCTGGTTTTAGTCCTGGTTTTAGTCCTGGTTTAGTCCTGGTTTAGACCTGGTTTAGTCCTGGTTTTAGACCTGGTTTAGTACTGGTTTAGTATCTAGCAATGAGAGAAATTACCAAAAAAAAAAAAAAAAAAAAAGGGATATAGCCCGAAATGTGAAAACAGGAAAATCCCTCTGTGTAATCCATTTATTTCAACAAAGTAACTGTAATCCAATTACCACTCACTGAAACAGTAAATGTAACTGAATACAGTTACTCATAATTTGTACTCTGATTACATAACTCTAGCACATGTAATCTGTTACTCCCCAACACTGGTTGTCAACGATTCCCAAGATCGTGGATTTAAAGCCAGAACAAAGAGAATGTTTGGTGAATTTTATCAACATGTTATTGTCCTTGTTCCTAAGGGATTTGGGAAAAGCTTAATACACCAGTTTGCCCCGTTAGTAGCACATTACATACGTCACGACCAAGTAGCAGTGATTGGTTAAATGAAAAAAAGTACCTGCCTACCGTCGAACGAATGAATTCTAATGTTGCAAGGTCAGACGGTTTCTACAAAGTGAAACCGTCTGATGAATCAGGTTACCTATGAGTGGCCACTATGCCAACTCAAGACAGATCTAAACTAGCAATACTCTATCCAGTTATTCTTGAAAAGTTACATAGTGCACCTTTAAGTGGGGCGAGTGGAGACAACATCCACTCTCACAATCAAACTATTTAGATTCAACACACCAGATCAGAACTTACCTGAAGATCTGGAAATGGTTTCACATATAACACAACACTGCTGTCCCAACCCAGAGACACTGAAGGACGGGTCAAATGCAGAGACAACCTTCCTACAGGGACATACAGTGACCATGTTTATACCAAAAAGAAACATGCTTTTAATATCACCCATAATTGAGGGCATTATAAAGAGTGAATGGAGTTGGGTCTAATCATGTTTGGAATGCAGACTGAAAGGTGCCACTGTCCTGGGCTCAGTGCTACAGCTCCATCTAGTGGTCGCAGAGCTGCACACGCACAAGAGTTTGAACATGTACAGGCTCTGTTCACGCTTACCAGAAGAAGTGTGGAAACATGCGGATGACGACTTCCTCTGGGCTCTGTTGACGATAGGAAATGTGAGAAAACTGAGAAAGTGGCCCGGTTTTCTTCATCTAGAACTCATTGTATTCCTTCGTTTTTCCTTGCCTGTTAGTTTGTGTATTATAATTTGTCAAACTTAATAAAAGAAAGAAAAAAAAAAAGATAGTAGCATTCGGCAGATCAACAGTTCCAACCAGCTGCCTGCAAGTGACACTGAAGACGCAGGTTGTGAAGACGCTGCTGCTGAACCCGCGGTTTTATCACATGCCCAGTGTCGGGAACTACGCCGGAAGTCGCCAACGTCTTTCAGTAAACACGAATAGAGCTTAGACATGAAAAGGTAGAGCTGTTGATACATTCCTCTGTAATTCCATATCAGTGATATTGGACCAGATTATGGAGCTCAACAATCGAAGCCCACAAAGGTCCAGGAAGAAAATGTTGCAATTTTTTCCCCATAAACATCTTTTAAAAATCTAATATTAAGAGATTAAAGTAGTGTTTCCCAAACTTTTTTTTTTTTTCTGGGGACCCATATTTTAAAAGTCTCAAGCCTTCGTAACCCAAGTCAATAGACATTATTTGTAAATCACAAAATAAATGTGGATTTGAGCATTAATGAACATTAAAGAAGATATTTTATTGTTGACTGAGTGATCGTGTCTCTGAACAATTAGTATTACTCAAGTTTAAACAATGAAAAACAGTCACTGAATCAGCAATAAAAGGATCTATAAGTCGACTATTTGGACATTAAATGTAGAACATTTCTTTTTCTTTTCAACATTCAACTGAACCAACAATATTGGAACAAAATAGTCAATAAAATAATTTGTATTTCTGTTTTCTATTCTAATAAAGATCAGAAATGTTTCAAAACATGTTTTAACAGTTCAACCTACATGCAAATTGTGACATGGTGACTCCAAAAAATCTCTTGAGACCCACCTGAGAGTCGCGACCCAGACTTTGGGAAATAATAGCTTAAAGCATAATGTAGGTTGACCTTTCCTGGTTTCAGTCCCAAAAACAATGAAAACTTTGTCAAAATGTTTTTTATAACTTTGCAGTTTATAATGTTCCAAAAAAACATGTATGTCTTGCTGTATTCTCCAGCAGCAAATTTGGAAACTATAAATGTATATATATATATATATATATATATATATATATATATATATATATATTATATATTATTTTTATTATTTATTTTTTTTTAAGTCTGTGGGAATAAATAATGGAAATTTAAAATAAATCTATAGTTAAACTCCATTAAAATTTCTACAATCTTGACACATTTTCTTATTTTTTTTTTTAAAGCTGAAAAAAAGGCATAGCACATTCACATGGCCGATATCCAAAAGCTTTAACTAACTTTAAATAACATCATGCATTTTTTCATTTTTAAGTTGCTGCTCCTTGCATTTGCACCTCTACAAGAACTTTGGAGTGTGTTTTCTGTTACTTTTTTTTTTATTAAACAAAGATCTATATTTCTATACCCAGGTTATACAGATATGTAGTTATCATATTATTACTCCTTAATATTCAATTGAAGTTTTTATAGAAATATCTTTATCAAGTTCTCCATTTCCTCTTCAGAACAGATCAGCTTGAAGATGCTTTTTTTTTAAATGCAAATTACTTCTGAAACCAATAGTAAAAAACATAACATTTTAGATCATGATTTGAACACATTTATTGACAGATTTTCAAAAATATGCAACTTCTATAGTTTCTGCACAAAACCGTGGTAGAACGTGGCTACAAAAATATTCAGTTTTGCGATTTAGACATGGACCACACCAGAGTCTCGCTCCCTCAATGTAAAGAACACACAGGTTATGAGAACAAATGACCAAATACCTGACAAAAACATGATCAAAATATGGAAAAAAAAAAGCTTTTCGTTTATAGCGCCTTACATCTTACTGAGTTGTCCAAACATGAACACAAATACAGCAGATTTTCAGAATAAAACTCAAGATTATCATGTCATATACCCTGAAAGGAAACAGTTTTAGTCCCTTCAAAACAAGAGTAGACATAGAAAGTTTGGATACAAAAGAGGTAGCTAAATTTTGAGTATTACAAAATAAATGTCACTATAAAACTAGGCTACTGTTCGATATGATTCACAACAAAGACATGACTGGAGCTAAAGGTAAAACAGCTCCCTAACTTCTCTTAATGTTAGTAAAGAATATAATATGTTAATAATTACAGCCACTCACCAAAATAAAATGCTGCCATCTTGTGTTCGCAGATAAGAAGTACAATTCAACTTAAGATTTTGTTCAAAACTCTAGATGAAAACCCCCCCCCCAAAAAAATTTTTTTTAATAATGTTTGCTTACATATGAAAAAGTTAGCAGTTCAATTTCCACTCCACTTTGTACAATTGTTTTTGTTTCCTTGAGCATGACACTTCACTTACCTTGTCTATAATCATTCAAAGTTATGGTAATATTGTTTAACATTTGATCTGTGTTTGATTAAGAATTAAACCAAATGAAGCTGAAATTATGGCGCTGAAGATCTGATCAGGAAGTCTTTTTGATTTGTAGGGCTGAAGTTGGTAGTAAAATTCTCAAAACTATTATGTATTTCTGTGTAAATCAGGACTGAACCAGGACTAAAATAGGTATAAACTAGGACTAAACCAGGGCTGAACCAGGACCAAACCAGGACTAAACCAGGACAGAACAAAGGACTAAACCAGGTCTAAAGCAGGACTGAACCGAGGACTAAACTGAGGACTAAAGCAGGACTGAACCGAGGACTAAACTGAGGACTAAACCAGGACTGAACCGAGGACTAAACCAGGACTAAACCGAAGATTAAACCGAGGACTAAACTAGGACTAAACCAGAGCTGAACCAGGGCTGAAACAGGACTAAACCAGGACTAGAACTTGGAATCTAGTTCCGCCCCTGAGAGAACCCCGAGTTCGTGGAACAGGGTGTCTGCAGGGCGCAATCGGGCGTCAGCTGTGGTTCGAGCTGTGGAGTGTGGAGTTCTGCGTCGGTCCTTTCGCTCGCGGTTACGTAACGGTTTACACGTGCGCATCTCCGGCGCTTCACCACTGCTGATATTGCCGTAATTTTAGCGAATTTGTATGAAGAAAAAACAAAAAACCCATCACTTCAAAACAAGTTCACAAAGCTTTGTAACACGCATTACTGACATTTGTACCCCCCAAGTACTAGGATTCTATATATTTATATAAAGAAATCTGTGAATTGTGAGTTTAATCTGCCTTTTTTACCTTTAAAACACCAAAAAATGCAAAATTTTCATCTCACACGCTCACTTCTCCTTTCTGCTGTTGTCCCAAATAATTCCTTATAATGAAAATGATAAACTAAACTAATTTTGGTTCATTAAGACACCATCGTTGAGTAAATCGAGTGAACAACTAAAGATCTACAGCCCTACAGAGAAACAGAAATCATATATTGACACAAGCGAGGTGGGTAAAGTGTCTTACAGCATCAGAAGTGGGAATTGAACTGCCAACTCTCTATCCAATACTGTGCAAACACCTCAAATTGACGTAGCAAACTTGTAGAAAAGCAGCATTTTATCCGGTGACCGTCTCCTCCCTCTTCACTTCCTTCTAAATACAGTCTTTTTCAGTCTCTTTCAGTCCTTTATAATTTCCATTGTGAGGTCTGGGCCTCTGAGCGTCCATATGACCACATTTAAACTCAAAATAACAAATAAATAAAAGTCCTTTAACTAAAAATGGTTTGACTAAAAGAAGCGCAAAGTTGTTTCTTCCCCATCCATGGATCCAACAGCCGCAGCACCACAAAAAACCCCGACTGGAGTGAAATGACTTCAGCTCAGAATATTCATCTTTTTTGAGTAGTTTTGACTATTTTCAGCTCTATTTAGGTCTAATGATGAATGTTTTAAAGAGGCACTATGTAACATTTCTCATGGGGGGTACACCACTTGCTTGTTTCCATGGAGATATTAGCGCTTTACTGATAAAATGATCTCACCTGTGGAGGATTCAAATTTTTTAGTACGGCTTTTGTTTACGGCTTTTATCATTTTTGTTCATTGATTTTATTACTATTAATATTTTATCTATTAATTCTATTAGTTCTTCTTGTTTGGAACCTAATTCTGCTGATTTTTTAAAGTTAAAACCACTTTGGAAACTGTCTTGTTTATAAAAATGTGCTCTACACATAAATTTAGACTGGAACACGGAATCAAACACCTGCAATTCAATAAATTATTAGATTAAAACTGTCAAAACTTCAGGTGAGGCTGTGTTTACCTTTTTTAAATAATCATTTAAATAAAACTAAACTTATCTATTCCTATAGAGACAAACACTGTAGCCATTACGCCAGATTACAGGTCAGATCTGTGGAGAGGCAACCCCAGAGTAAGAATAGATGCAATAAAATCCCATGTAACTGGAATCAAGCAAAACTTTCACGTTTAATGCCATATTGTGGAACATTCCATGGAGACAAGCAGGTGGCTGGCTAATTTTTTTTGTTTTGTTTTTTTATATAATGAAACATCTACAAATTTAAGAGGGGGTATTACACTTCTGTAGTATTGCTAATGTATAACATATTTAGATCACCATGTTACCTTTTATTGTTTTTTAAACGTTATATTCACTGAAAACAACGTATTCATTTAACAAATTAAATGATAACGTATTAAATTGTTAAGTTTCATGGATGTTTTTAGTGAGAGAACGTTCTAACATAGTAAAAAAGCTCCAAAAAGTCGATTTAATATAATAAATAAATAAATTCTCCATCTTTAAGTCAAAACTACTCAAATTAAATCAAGATCATTATTCTGATTTCAAGTCATTCCACCTCATGTCTTCCTTTAATTTTTTGCAGTGTTCAAAGTCCAAAATCTCAGTAGTTTCGGATGCTGAAAAACCCCACGCTGGTCGGCGATTCCTTCACCGTCACCGTGACCAGATTCGCTGTGACATCGGTGACGAAAACGTGTTCGATCAAACTCCTGGGCGGTTTCCAGTCGTTGTTCGTCATAATCTGGCCTCCGAAATCCGTATCCGACTCAGAAGTGCTCCCCTCCTCTCCCGCGCTCAGCTCGTTCACCTTTTTCCCATCTTTGGAAACCTCGCTGTTCGCTTTGTGCACGGCGTTTCTGGAATTCTTCATCTCCGCTAGCTCTTTCATGCTGTTTTTATCCTGGCGATTCTGCAGTGCCGTTCCCGGGCTTTTGGGCGACATGTAATCTTGAGTTTTCCGAATCGGCGCGGTGGGACTTTTCAGCCCCGACGTCTGCATAACTCCGTTGACGTGCAAATCTTTTGTTTTAGCATTCTGAAGGTTTAACGGTTGCTGGTTTGACGCTTGACCTCCCGACGGACCGTTTTTGGACGGCAAAGCTGCTACGGATTTCGCGTTGGGTGTCCTTTGCATGCTCGCGATGCTAGTTTGCGGTTTCTTGGCAACACTCGGCGGACTTAGCGTGTGCTGCGTGGTCCCTTGATGCTTCGTCGTGTTCAGGTTCAACGCCGCGACTCCTTTCGACTTGGTGGCCGCCGGCATTTTCAAATCCAGACTGCTGGCGCTTGCCCCCGTGAGCTTCGCTTCGGTTTTGGTTTGGTTTGCCTTGTTCGCCGCGAGGTTGCTCTGAGCTTGCGCAGATTTCGTCACGCCTTGACCAACCGGGCTCCTGTTTAAGGTGCTGATGTTGCGATGAAAACCCATGAACGTGAAGCTCGCTGGGTGGACGGGTTTCTTGATAGCGCCTGGAACTTCCAATTCCTTGAGGTTTGGTCTTTTGGCTTTGTTGTGGTACTCTTTCAGCTCAGGTGGCATCGGTTTCCGCCCTCGTTTTCTGGGCGGGTCGGGTTTTGCCATGACGATTTGGGCTTTCTTTTGCGGCACGGGGTGAAGGGTTCGGACGGGGGGCTGCTGGCTCGGTTCCTGGTCATCTTCATCTTCAGAGGAGGAAGAGGAGGAGCACGAGGAGGAGGAGTCAGAGGAGGAGGAGGAACCGGAGCCAGAGCCGGAAGAGCTGCTGGACTTTGGTTCTGGTTCTGGAAGATTCTCCTGAAATAAAAAAAACATAAAAATACAAATAAGATGGAATTCTCAGGTGGAATTAACTGTGTAACTGTCACATTGCAGATTTGCTGACCTGATTAATGGTTCATGTCTCTGTAATTACATAAAACTAAAACTGGTATCCCCAGGTTTGACTACCCTAAATTTAAGACTTTTTAAAGACCTTTTTAAGACCACTTAAATGAAGATTAAGACCAAGATCGCACCCATTATGTGGGCGAAAAACACCAGATCCAATTCTAAAAATGACCGTTACTCACAGCTTTAAATAACAAAAAATACTTTCATAATAAAATCTCAGAACTCATTTATAGTCGTATGCGTTGCCTGTAAAATGGTCAAAAAATAATTTAGAACATTCTAACAAGACAAACTAACCCTTCACCTTTCAACCTTGTCTTGTCTCACTTTGTCTTTCAAAGTGCTTCAACCATTTAACATTTTCAACAACAACAGACAAACCAAAGTATTGTTTGCTCATACTCCAAATTAGATGTTCAGTCATGTTGTTTTTGTTTTTGGACAACATAATTTAATTTAAGACTTGGACAACATAATTTAAGACTTTTTGAGGCCTTAATTTAGGAACATGAAATTTAAGACCGTTTTTAAGACTTTTAAGACCTCGTGGCTACCCTGATCAGTATAAATAAACAAAAGTGATTATTTTTAGGGATGCACCGAGCCAATGCTGGTAATGGATATCAGTGCCAATACTGAAAACATTTGCTGGATCAGATGTAATAAGACTTGGATGTGATAAGACTGGATCTGGATGTAATAAGACTTCTGTATTTTTAAGACTATAATGCACACTTAAAATCCTTTAAATTTTCTCAAAAATAGATGGTGCGCCTTATGTATTCATTCTGGTTGTGTTTACTGAGCTCGAACGATTCCATGTGGTACACAGTGCTCAAAAATCTGTCAAAATGTTTTAGTAAGACTTTGGTAAACTACTGAGTAGAGGTCCGCGAGACAGAATTTTCAGTCCCGCTCCCACCAGCACCCGCAAAGAATTGTAATTTTCATTCCCGCTCCAGCCCGCATCTGCAGTATATTGTCTACTATGAAGCTGTACTGCTTGATGGACTGTTGGAGTATTACGTCTACCACAGTCAGGAGCCTCGCAGAGTAAATACACTTTCACCAAGACAGGGAGGCAACGCCGAGCGAAGTACGACACTATCTGCCAATGGATCGTGGACGCCTGGGCTAAGGATCAGTCTCAAGTGTCATGTGTTTGTTTCGCTTAATGCACCTTTTGTATGAAAATAGACTAGACAATTCAACATTACTGATATTGTGCCTTATAATTCTGTGCGCCTTACAGTCTGAAAAATACTGTATTCACTGATCACTGTCTGCCCAGAAAGGGTCATGTTTGAACTTTTATTTATACAAAGTTCATATGTTGTACTTCAGATATACAACAGCTGCATTTGGATCCATTTTGTCTTATTTTATATGATTGTTTAAGGAAATAAATGCCGTTATCAGTCTCTGCACTGGTATCATTTACTATTGGATATCAGTAAACCCTTAAAGTTATAGAATTGGAATCGGTATCGAAACTGAAAAAGCTGGATCTTTGCATCTCTAATTATTTTTTCACAATAGCTTCAGAGAGTGCTGCCATTTTTCAACACCAAAGATGCAGTCATACAAGCCATGAGATTAATGTGACAGGTTTTGGAGCCACTCCCAAACAAATAATTATAAGGTTCAACCTTTTGTGGATCAAAATATTAAGAAGTAGGGCAAGACACAATTTTCACGAGACGAGACACATCATGGGATTGAGTCCATGAGAACATAATGAGATTTTGACATAATTTGTAATAATTACCGTAATTTCTGGACTATTGAGTGCACCGGAATAAAAACCTCATTAACAAAATTTTAAAAGAAAAATAAAGTACACATATAGTTGGGGATTCAACCTGGACGACTGAGGGATTTTTCACATAGATGGGGTGTGCAAAAATATCAAAATATTTATATATCGTATCGTTTAATGTTATGATACAGTGTCGAAATTGTGGGCTGCTGTATCGATATATCGCCAACAGTATTTTTTGGTATATTTTACTACTGTATTTTCCGCACTACAGGGCACACTTAAAAACCTTTAATTTCATCAAAAATCTACTGCGTGTCTTATAATCCCGAGCGCCTTATACATGAATTTATTGGGGTGTCTTAGTACGACTTTAGTAAACTACAAAGCCGCTCCACTTGCAGCATTACGGCTCCCGTAGTCAGGAGCATTAATACATACTGTGATTCCTTTTAATATCAAAATGCACCTGTCAAGAGACACGCCCACAACTCCCACTTTAAACTCAAGGCTGTTATAAAGTGAAAGTGTGAGCTGTGTGGGAGCAGTGGATGAGAGAAGGAGAACACACATTCACCAAGACAGAGAGACAGCGCCGAGCGACTTACGCCACGATCTGCCAACGGATCGTGGACGCCCGGGCTAAGGATCAGTATCAACTGTGGTCAGAGTCAACTGTGGTCCCAGAATCATCACTGAACTGCCAGGGAACAGTAACCACACTGACTTGGATAATGACGAGAGGGATGCGGGCGTGTGGACGCCATAATCGCCCAACTGTTTAAACTATTATGACTTATTGTAAATACGATAACAATTTAGTGTCTCAGACAGTATTTTTTTTACACATTACAATTGAACAAAGTTGAGAGTTATTGGGAACTAGGGATGGGCATGATTAGTCGATTAATCAATAATTGATCGTTAAGAATTTCATCGATTACGTTTATTTTAATCAACAAACCGAATGTAGCGTGACCAAACAGGGGTCAGTACATGTGTCTCTGCACTCAGAAGGAGCGAGACACAAACAGTGGGTCAGTCTGCAACGTGCCGAAGTGCAAATGCGTATTTAACGATGACTTGGACAATAAATTCCACGCTTTCCGTTGCATTCGGGACAAGTGTGAGGCCATGTGCACAGTGTACAAAACAGCAAATATGTACTTTACCAGGTGAGAGTCGCGCAATGTCGATGTTGAGGCCCCACCTCCCTCCCCCCGTACGGTGCCCTGGTTTTGACAAACGCAAATATGGTCACACTAACCTGTATTCCACTGAATCATGCTGCATCAGCGCACAAGAGCATTTTTTTTTTCTCGCTTAATTTATGCAAATGAGCCAGTTTTAAGTTTTGTTTCTGTGAGACTTGCACAAAGCTGCATTAAACACATTATAATGTCAAACGGGCTGATGTGGCTCTAGAGTTGTTACGGTTTATATGTCGTAAAGTTGAATTTATTTATGCAGATTAGTAGTGCAGATAGTAATAATAATGATGATCATTTAATGTAAAAACGTTAATGATTAATCGATAATCGATAGTTAATTCTCCCGACGATCGATTAAGAAAACTTAATCGAATGCCCATCCCTATTGTGAACATGTTAAATAAAGTTTGACTGACTTATCTAAATGTTGTGTTTCGTTTAATGCGCCTTATAGTTCCGGTGCGATTTTTATGTGAAAAACTGTTCAAAAATAGACCATTTAATGACAGTGTGCCTTATAATCCAGAGCTCCCTATAGTGCAGAAAATACGGTAAGTTATTTTGTTAGAGTGCTACAGTTATGTTGCTTGTTCAGTCGAAGGAAACTTGTTTATGTGACACACTTGACATATTCACTGTTTGGAGGATTAAAATGGGTGTGTTTCAACTTTGCACAAGAAATGGTTTAACAAAGACTTTTAGTATCACAGCCACGAATTAACCTTTATTTTTTATTGAACTGTATCAAATCGATTTGAAATATATCGTATCGAATCGAAAGTGCACTGTATCGTGATATGTATCGTATCGGCAACTTCTTAATGACACCCAGCGTTAATACACAGGCTGCACCTGAATATAATCTGCAGGTGTCCACGTCTTCAAGAACATTTTCAAGTTCGGACCGTATATATGAATGGACACTGTGCCAAACATATAATCCGTTCATAGATTGGCCACATCTTTGAGAAAAAAGTAGCAGCTTATAGTCCAGAAATTATGGTAAGTAGTGCAAACCATTTCACAATCTTGGCTTCCTTTATTTTATGCAATACTTGAGTGATCATTGTAGTACAGCTTTTTGGAACTACAGCTTTGTAAAATTGCGTAACTCACCAGTTTTTGTTCTCTTATTCTTATGTTCTATCCACGCCAAAGGTAAATTCAGGGGGAAAAAAAATCTCACAAGATAATTTTTGTCATGTGTGCACGATCTTGTGTCAATTTTGTCTCACGAGATCTTGTCCCGTCCTTACAAAATATGGATATTTCTCCCAAAAACAGTGAATCTCATCAACAAACATCAAAATTCTAGAATATGAACGCAAATTATTTCATGTATTTTTATGTGTTTGTTTATTTACTGCAATTTAGTCTTGGGAACTGCAAAGACGAGCCTTGTACTTTGCAGGTGTGGTGTCAGTTACTGTAGTCAGTTCTTGTGGTTTGCTCTTACTCATGCTAATACAGAGGTTATTGGGTTCATTGCGGTTTGCGATTTACGGTTAAACACCTGTTTTTTGATCAGAAAAAAAAAATTACATTTCAATGCAGGAAGTCAGAAAAAAATAACTAAAGATCACAAACTTGGGGGCTTATGGTGATACTCACGTCTTCAGCAGTTCTTATTTGTTTTGGGTATAAATAAAATAAGAAAACATTTCAATTTGTGGTAAAATAGGAGCTGATTTTTCTAAATAAACTCACCAGTATTTTCCGTGGTCGTCCTCTGGGTCTCTTCCCCCGATTTCTCATCATCATCTCTCTCTCCTGCTCCCTGGAAACAATTTAGAGTTTAAATTACAAAGAGTTCATAGTTCAGAGCTACAAAAACAAAAAGAAAAGTTTAATGAGAAGTTGGGTGTGAAAACTAAACAAAAACTACGTTTAAGTTAACTGAGCTGTGTGTTTTAAAGGAATATACAGTTACAATTACAGTTTTAAATTACACTAAAGTGTTGATCCTGTTCATATACTCGTACTGCACTGCACATGACAGTCAGTGCCTCTTATTAGTGCTGAAGCCTTTTATTTTATTTGATAAAAAATTTAACTTTTCTGCTGGAGGGTCTGTCAAATGCTTGTCTCTATGGAGATGTTATTGCTTTGTCTGAAATGTTTCAAAGTGTGTTTTAAAACTTTCTATCTTCATGGAGACCAGACAAGGCAAAGTTCCAGGTGAGATCTGTGGAGAGGCGACCCCGCTCACAGTCAGAATGTCTGTTTTCTTGGTATTTTTGAGCTATAAAACCATCTGTAATTGAATAAATGTAAGGTAGAGCCGTTTAATGTCATACTGTGGAACATTCGAAGCAGAGCAATGATGTATCCACAGAAACAAGCAGGTGACAGACCCCCAACCAAAACGTTGCATAGTCGCATAGCAAGTCCATTCTCTAATATATATTATTTGTCTTGGCTTTTGAGTGCCTGTTTCAGTTCTCTTGACGTTCAGAAACTGTGCGTTGCAACTAGGGATGGGCATTCGATTAAATGTTCTTATCGATCATCGAGAGAATTAACGATTAATTATTCATTAACGTTTTCATATTATGATCATCATAATGATCATCATTATTATTACTATTAATCTGCATAATTAAACTGAACTTTACAACATATAAACTAGAACCACTGTAGCCCCACATCAGCCTGTTTGACATTATAATGTGTTTAATGCAGCTTTGCACAAGTCTACAGAAACAAAACTTAAAACTGCATGGCTCATTTGCATAAACTAAGTAAAGAAAAACAGCACTGATGCGGTTCAGTTTCTGTCTTACATACAAGTCTTATGACTTATATATTCAAATTTTCAGACTGATAGCCACGAGAGGGCGCTCTACACTTGTGTATCAGTTTTCTGCACATGTCTCCTGTAGAAAAAGTAGTAGTAAAATATGCAGCAGAAAATGGTAATTGAGCAGCAGAAACAAAGTTTGGAGTGAGCGAGAAACTTGTGAGAGACTGACGTAAAGGCGGGAATGAAGAACACAGCTTCACCACAACTGGGAGGATGCACCATGAAACTTTCCTGGAAGTCACTGGATGACAAAGCCTGGACTTCAGAAATAACTGAAGCTGCGCAGAGTTGCTCAGACGTGACACCGAGGATGAAGAATTCAACATATTCAATGGATTTAGTGATTTGGAGTGAGATGGAGAGTTTGGTAAACTTGTTCTGTTCTGTTGTTTATGTTATAGTTTATCTGAAGAACTGTTCATATGTGACGTTAACAGTCTGTTGTTCTCTCTTCTATTGTTATTACTAGAACTTGACTTTCAACAAGAAATGTCGGTTCCTGGTCTCTGATTTCATAAAATAAATTTCCCCCAAAAAGTGCGACTCATATTCCAATGTGACTTATGTTTTTTTTCATCTTCATTATGCATTTTTTGGCTGGTGCGACTTATAGTCCGAAAAATACGGTAAATTTGGATGAGGTCCGAGACGTACTGTGGGGCCAGTCCATTCAAAGCTTTAAAAACAATAAAATCTTAAAATAAATTCTAAAACAAACTGGAAGCCAGTGCAACAAGGCTAAAATCGGAGTTATGTGCTCACGTTTTTTGGTTCCAGTTAAAATTGCGCAGCAGAATTTTGGACTAATTATAAGGATAAAAGTTATTCTCATTCTCAGTTTGTGGACAGGCCTCATGTGAAGCTCAGAACCTCCAGATTTCCCTCTCTGAGCTGCAAAGGCTGCACTAGCACTGAGTTGTGGCCTAACATAACAACATAAGTAGACTGACACTGCTCTGAAATGCCAGAAAACAAATCGAAACATCACTTGAGCTGCGACTGTGTTCAGTGTGAGTGTTGTGTTTGCAGTGACACGTTTGACTCACTTCTTGTTGAACGCCGCCAGGAGTCGAGGGTCCAGGATGTTTTCCTGAGGCTCCCAGCTGTTGTGTCTGAAACCGAAACAAAACACAACTGTCAAAAATGAAAGAGAGGAGGAGGGAAGAGAGGGAGAGAGACAGAAAGAGAAAGAGAGAGGGTGAGAAAAGAGGGAGAGACCAAACACAACTGTTACAACTGAACTGTCAAATATGAAAGAGTGGGTGAGAAAAGAAGGAGAGTGAAATGGAGAGGGGGGAGAGAGAGAGACATTAACCAACTGTCAAATAAGAAAGGGAGAAGGAGGAGGGGAGAGAGGGAGCGAGAAAGAAAGAGGAGAGAGGCAGAAAACAGCTGTTACAACTGACTAATATGAAAGAGAGGGGAGAGAAAAAAAACGGAGAGTGAAAGAGAGGAGAGAGAGACTGAAAACAACTGTCAAATATGAAAGAGGAGAAGAGAAAAGAGGGAGACGGAAAGAGAGAGAGGGACAAAAGACGGAGAGACCATAAACAACTCAACTGTCAAATATGAAAGAGAGGTGGAGACAGTGTTGGGGAGTAACAGATTACATGTACCGCCGTTAAGTAATCAGAGTACAAATTATGAGTAACTGTATTCAGTTACAGTTACTGTTTCAATGAGTGGTAATTGGATTACAGTTACTTTGCTGAAATAAGTGGATTACAAGGCAGTATTTTCCTGTTTTCACATTTTGTACTACATCCTATTTATTTATTTTTTTTATTTCGGTAATTCCACTCATTGCTGGAAACCCAAACAGAACGCGACAGTAAGAGCGATGTAAACGTCATGTTCACGTTGGCGGCGTCAGTCACATAATGGACGAGGTTGAAGAGCCAGTAGAACAGAGGCAGCAGTGCACAGGTAAAAACACATTTGTGTCTTGGAAATTCTTCTCCCGACGTGAAATATAAAAGAAAATAACAAATATAAAATCACCTGCAAGTTAAATGTCAAACTGGAGCTACTGGCACTGGTGAAAACAACCTGCATAGACTCATGATGTCTGCACTACTGTCCTATAGTGACCTGAGACATGAGGGGACACGCACACACACACACAAACACACACAAACACACACCTTCATCATCGTCATCGACATGAGAACGCGCGGACCACCGTCATTCTCCCACGTGCCGCGTGTGGACCGTGTTTTCTCGCGTACGCTGTGTAGACCGCAGCTTCCTCCTGTGCTCCTCTAAAACCAGAACTAACACCAGGACTAAAACCAGGACTAAAATCAGGACTAAACCAGGACTGAACCAGGACTAAACCATGACTAAACCAGGTCTAAACCAGGACTAAACCAGAACTAAACCAGGTAAACTAAACCATGACTAAACCAGGACTAAACCAGGTCTAAAATCAGGACTAAACCAGAACTAAACCAGGTCTAAAATCAGGACTAAACCAGGACTGAAACCAGGTCTAAAACCAGAACTAAACCAGGACTAAAACCAGGACTAAACTAAAAAACCAGGTCTAAACAATGACACTAACAGTAGGTTGGACATAATTTAAGGTGATCTCATATAAAAATAATTTCTCTATCAATAATATTTTTAATTTGGTTAAGGAAAGACTGGACTTTTTATTTTCTTTTAGCAGACAAAACATCTTATGTTAACAGATCCTGGTCTTTGCTTCTCTACAGTAAACAGTTGCTTATTCATGAGACTTGGGCTCAACAGACAATTTGAAGAGAACAAACAAGAATTTTCAGGATGTGGTTGATACATTCATGTAGTTTTAAAAGGCATGACAATATCAAGTAATCCAAAGTATTCAGATTACATTACTCACTTTAAGTAATTTAATGGATTACGTTACAAACTACATTCTGGTGTGTGTAATCTGTAATCTGTAGGGGAATACATTTTAAAAGTCACCTTCCCAACACTGGGTGGAGAGAACAAAAGAAGAGTGAAAGAGAGAGGGGAGAGAAAAAAGGAAAACTGAAAGAGAGAGGGGGGTAAAGAGGGAGAGTAAAAAAGAGGGGAGACAGAGAGACAGAAAACAGCTGTTAAAGCTGAACTGACGGATATGAAGGAGAGAAAAGAGAGGGATAAGCAGAGAGAGAGGAGGGAGAAAGGAATTGTCAACATGAAAAAGAGGGAGAGAGGAGGGGAGAGAGGGAGTGACAGAAAACAACTGTTACAGCTGTCAAATATTGAAAAAAAAGATGAGAGAGAGAGAAAGAGAAGGAGAGAAACTGAGACAGAAAACAACTGTTACAGCTGACACAGTCTGAAAAAAGAGAACACAGACATACAAGGAGAGATGGAGAGAGAGAAGGAGGAACAGAAAACAAATATAAAAGAGAGAGAGAGAGAAAGAGAGAAGACGCAGAGACAAAGAGACATTTGATTGATAATGGAGACAGAAGACGCCTCCTGTAAGACGAACTTGAAGTAAACTTGTTTTTGGAGTTTTTCGGGTTTTTCTTCATCTAAAATATGGAATTAAACAGCATGTCCATCTCCTCTGGTCCACTTCATATTAAAACGTGGTACTTACACACAAATGGCTTCTTAACTTTGTTCCCCAGACCTATTCCAATTATTTCAGAGCTAAAATAAATAGAAATAACCACTACTGTATTTTTCACACTTTTTTTCATGGTTTGGGTGTTTCCTGCAACTTAAACTGCCACTTATATATTGTAAATGTTCACACTGAAGCGGTGAGAGGTTCTAGTCTTGTGTGTGAGTATCTGCTGCTCCTGTTCCTCCTGTACCACTGTCACTTCACTCTGCTGTGCATGTCTAGTAATCAAACAGTAGAAAGAAAACTTAGAGTGAGTGGGAAACTTGTGAGGGACTGACGGAAAGCGGGGATGGAGAACACAGCTTCATAAGAACCGGGAGGATGCACCATGTAGCTTTCCTGAAGTCACTGGATGGACGGACAAAGTCTGGACTTCAGTGACACTGAAACTGTCCTGTCGGGAGTCAGAAAGACCCGAATAATTCTAACTGGAACTGATGCTGAGTCTGACAACTAGGGATGGGCATTTGATGAAATTTTATTAATCGATCGTTGGGAAAATTAACGATCGATTTTCGATTAATCATTATCGTTTTTATTATATATTATATATTATAGTATTATCATTATTATTACTATTACTAATCTGTATAAATAAACTCAACTTTACAACATAACAACATAAACCATCACCACTCTAGAGTCACATCAGCCCGTTTGAGATAAGAATAAACTAAAAACTGCATGGCTAATTTGCATAAACTAAGGCGGAGAAAAAAAAAAAAACAAAAAAACACTCGTGCACTGATGCGGTTCAGCTTCTGTCGAACTAAGGGACACGACTCAGTAGAATATAGATGTTCTTTCTGTGACAGAGAGATGTTGATGCTGAAGGTGAGTTAGTTCTCAGGTTTAGCTCAGCTCTTTATGTTGCAGTAACCGGGATACTGCGTAAACATGCACCATGACGAAACCAGGATACTGATGTACATGTAAACACACTCACTGAGTCGTACAGTGTCTCCAAGGAGGCGCCAGAGCCCAAACGTGGGACTGAGGCCACAACTCCAGTGTTTGCGCTGTCGAGAGCTTCGTATCGACAAAATTCAATGCAATCGATCGACTTAATGCCCATCTGACGACAGCTACACCAAAGAGGAAGTGGCACTCTGTTTACCTCCAGAGGTCGGGGCCGAGTCGTTCAGAAGTGACACCGAGGATGAAGAATTGAATGGATTTAGTGATTTGGAGTGAGATGGAGAGTTTGGTAAACTTGTTCTGTTCTGTTGTTTATGTTATAGTTTATCTGAAGAACTGTTCATATGTGACGTTAACAGTCTGTTGTTCTCTCTTCTATTGTTATTACTAGAACTTGACTTTCAACTTTTAAAATTTCCTCTAAAAAGAGCGACTTCTATATGTTTTTTCTTCTTCATTACACATTTTTTGGGCTGGTGTGACTTATACTCCGAAGCAACTTATAGTCCTGAAAATACGGTTCTTTGTCTGAAATGTTTCAAAGTGTGTTTTAAAACTTTCTATCATCATGGAGACCAAACCAGGCCAAGTTACTGGTCAGCTCACAGGCGACCCCGCTCCCACTCAGAATGTCTGGTTTTCTTGGTATTTTTAAGCTATAAAACCATCTGTAATTGATTAAATCTTAGTTATTACTAGTTATTACCAGAACTTGACTTTAAGATGATATGTCGGTTCCTGGTCTCTGATTTTATAAAATAAATTCCCCCAAAAAGTGCGACTTATATATGTTTTTTTCTTTTTCATTGGCTGGTGCGACTTATACTCCAGAGCGACTTATAGTCCGAAAAATACAGTATTTATTTAAGTCTAAGTCTAAAATCCACCTCAATTTGAAACTGACAGTGATTGTTCTCAACTCCATTTAAACTGCTTCACTCTTTCACACTTCACAGATGGAGAGTAGAAGTCTAGAAATCTGACCCCTCGTGTTCTCACCGTCCCCTGCCGTTCCCTGTCCTTTTGCCTCAGATGCCCTCCCTCTCGTCGTATTTCACCAAAACGACACAAAGCTGCATTCTCCACATAGTTTCAACTGCAGCCAAAACAGCTTAACAGTCACACACTCTCCTGATTTTACTCCAGTGTTTTTGTGTCCGCCCTGGAGACGATATAGCTTTCCCTGGAATGTTCCACAGTATGGCATTACATAGAAAATAATTGCTTTTTGTTAAAGTCATATTACGCAAAACGGACTCCTGTGAACTTTAAATTGAATGTTATTACCTCCTCAAAAACAGTCCTGGAGTTGTGTTTTGCTTCTTTCACACATGTTTGAGTAACTCTTTATTATTCTGTCTGCATCAACAGTCTGTTCCACCTTGTGATGTCACAAAGTAGTTTTGTTTTTTTTAGTTTAAGATAACAGCTTGTTTTACCTTTTGTTTTCCAGGGCTGAAATGATCCAAATGATCCTAGTGAAGGTCTGTGGAAATTAAAAACACAGTAGCGCACTTCCACATGACATCACAAGGTGGAACAGAGCATTTTTTGTGTTTGAGAGAAAAACTCTAAAGCCTAAAT